ACCCCTTATGTTTTTTTTTTGGGCGAAAAATTAAGTTTCTCCAATCTTCCCAAAACTCTGGATTCTGATAGAGGGCCATGAGACTTAGACCTGAGTGCAAAAATGGAGGCTCTAGCCCCTTCCAGAGCTGAGATATCGAAACTCAAAAATTCGGCCCGAAAAAAAAAACGACAGTGGTACCCTTACGTTTTTTTTTTTGGGGCGAAAAATTAAGTTTCTCCAATCTTCCCAAAACTCTGGATTCTGATAGAGGGCCATGAGACTTAGACCTGAGTGCAAAAATGGAGGCTCTAGCCCCTTCCAGAGCTGAGATATCGAAACTCAAAAATTCGGCCCGAAAAAAAAACGACAGTGGTACCCCTTACGTTTTTTTTTTTTGGGCGAAAAATTAAGTTTCTCCAATCTTCCCAAAACTCTGGATTCTGATAGAGGGCCATGAGACTTAGACCTGAGTGCAAAAATGGAGGCTCTAGCCCCTTCCAGAGCTGAGATATCGAAACTCAAAAATTCGGCCCGAAAAAAAAAACGACAGTGGTACCCCTTACGTTTTTTTTTTTGGGCGAAAAATTAAGTTTCTCCAATCTTCCCAAAACTCTGGATTCTGATAGAGGGCCATGAGACTTAGACCTGAGTGCAAAAATGGAGGCTCTAGCCCCTTCCAGAGCTGAGATATCGAAACTCAAAATTCGGCCCGAAAAAAAAAACGACAGTGGTACCCCTTACGTTTTTTTTTTGGCGAAAAATTTAAGTTTCTCCAATCTTCCCAAAACTCTGGATTCTGATAGAGGGCCATGAGACTTAGACCTGAGTGCAAAAATGGAGGCTCTAGCCCCTTCCAGAGCTGAGATATCGAAACTCAAAAATTCGGCCCGAAAAAAAAAACGACAGTGGTACCCCTTACGTTTTTTTTTTTTGGGCGAAAATTAAGTTTCTCCAATCTTCCCAAAACTCTGGATTCTGATAGAGGGCCATGAGACTTAGACCTGAGTGCAAAAATGGAGGCTCTAGCCCCTTCCAGAGCTGAGATATCGAAACTCAAAAATTCGGCCCGAAAAAAAAAACGACAGTGGTACCCCTTACGTTTTTTTTTTTGGGCGAAAAATTAAGTTTCTCCAATCTTCCCAAAACTCTGGATTCTGATAGAGGGCCATGAGACTTAGACCTGAGTGCAAAAATGGAGGCTCTAGCCCCTTCCAGAGCTGAGATATCGAAACTCAAAAATTCGGCCCAAAAAAAAAACGACAGTGGTACCCCTTACGTTTTTTTTTTGGGCGAAAAATTAAGTTTCTCCAATCTTCCAAAACTCTGGATTCTGATAGAGGGCCATGAGACTTAGACCTGAGTGCAAAAATGGAGGCTCTAGCCCCTTCCAGAGCTGAGATATCGAAACTCAAAAATTCGGCCCGAAAAAAAAAACGACAGTGGTACCCCTTACGTTTTTTTTTTTGGGCGAAAAATTAAGTTTCTCCAATCTTCCAAAACTCTGGATTCTGATAGAGGGCCATGAGACTTAGACCTGAGTGCAAAAATGGAGGCTCTAGCCCCTTCCAGAGCTGAGATATCGAAACTCAAAAATTCGGCCCGAAAAAAAAAACGACAGTGGTACCCCTTACGTTTTTTTTTTTGGGCGAAAAATTAAGTTTCTCCAATCTTCCCAAAACTCTGGATTCTGATAGAGGGCCATGAGACTTAGACCTGAGTGCAAAAATGGAGGCTCTAGCCCCTTCCAGAGCTGAGATATCGAAACTCAAAAATTCGGCCCGAAAAAAAAACGACAGTGGTACCCCTTATGTTTTTTTTTTTGGCGAAAAATTAAGTTTCTCCAATCTTCCCAAAACTCTGGATTCTGATAGAGGGCCATGAGACTTAGACCTGAGTGCAAAAATGGAGGCTCTAGCCCCTTCCAGAGCTGAGATATCGAAACTCAAAAATTCGGCCCGAAAAAAAAACGACAGTGGTACCCCTTACGTGTTTTTTTTTTTGGGCGAAAAATTAAGTTTCTCCAATCTTCCCAAAACTCTGGATTCTGATAGAGGGCCATGAGACTTAGACCTGAGTGCAAAAATGGAGGCTCTAGCCCCTTCCAGAGCTGAGATATCGAAACTCAAAAATTCGGCCCGAAAAAAAAAACGACAGTGGTACCCCTTACGTTTTTTTTTTTTGGGCGAAAAATTAAGTTTCTCCAATCTTCCCAAAACTCTGGATTCTGATAGAGGGCCATGAGACTTAGACCTGAGTGCAAAAATGGAGGCTCTAGCCCCTTCCAGAGCTGAGATATCGAAACTCAAAAATTCGGCCCGAAAAAAAAAACGACAGTGGTACCCCTTACGTTTTTTTTTGGGCGAAAAATTAAGTTTCTCCAATCTTCCCAAAACTCTGGATTCTGATAGAGGGCCATGAGACTTAGACCTGAGTGCAAAAATGGAGGCTCTAGCCCCTTCCAGAGCTGAGATATCGAAACTCAAAAATTCGGCCCGAAAAAAAAAACGACAGTGGTACCCCTTACGTTTTTTTTTTTTTGGGCGAAAAATTAAGTTTCTCCAATCTTCCCAAACTCTGTATTCTGATAGAGGGCCATGAGACTTAGACCTGAGTGCAAAAATGGAGGCTCTAGCCCCTTCCAGAGCTGAGATATCGAAACTAAAAAATTCGGCCCGAAAAAAAAACGACAGTGGTACCCCTTATGTTTTTTTTTTGGGCGAAAAATTAAGTTTCTCCAATCTTCCCAAAACTCTGGATTCTGATAGAGGGCCATGAGACTTAGACCTGAGTGCAAAAATGGAGGCTCTAGCCCCTTCCAGAGCTGAGATATCGAAACTCAAAAATTCGGCCCGAAAAAAAACGACAGTGGTACCCTTATGTTTTTTTTTTTTGGGCGAAAAATTAAGTTTCTCCAATCTTCGCAAAACTCTGGATTCTGATAGAGGGCCATGAGACTTAGACCTGAGTGCAAAAATGGAGGCTCTAGCCCCTTCCAGAGCTGAGATATCGAAACTCAAAAATTCGGCCCGAAAAAAAAAACGACAGTGGTACCCCTTATGTTTTTTTTTTGGGCGAAAATTTAAGTTTCTCCAATCTTCCCAAAACTCTGGATTCTGGTAGAGGGCCTTGAGACTTAGACCTGAGTGCAAAAATTTATGCTCTAGACCCTTCCAGAGCTGAGATATCGAAACTCAAAAATTTGACCCAAAAAAAAAACGACAGTGGTACCCCTTACGTTTTTTTTTTTTTTGGGCGAAAAATTAAGTTTCTCCAATGTCCCCAAAACTCTGGATTCTGATAGAGGGCCATGAGACTTAGACCTGAGTGCAAAAATGAAGGCTCTAGCCCCTTCCAGAGCTAAGATATCGAAACTCAAAAATTCGACCCCCCCAAAAAAACGACAGTGGTACCCCTTTCGTTTTTTTTTTTCGAGCGAAAAATTAAGTTTCTCCAATCTTCTCAAAACTCTGGATTCTGAGAGGGCCATGAGACTTAGACCTGAGTGCAAAACTGGAGGCTCTAGACCCTTCCAGAGCTGAGATATCGAAACTCAAAAATTCGACCCAAAAAAAAACGACCCCTTTCGTTTTTTTTTCGGGCGAAAAATTAAGTTTCTCCAATGTTCTCAAAACTCTGGGCCATGAGACTTAAACCTGAGTGCAAAAATTGAGGCTCCTAGATAGATCAACACGGTCACACTAAATGCGTCTCGCATGCAGTGCGTTTATAGTGCAATTTATATGCGAAAATTAGTTTGTACATGCATTGGAAACACACCGTGTGTAATATACGTTTGTTTAGGATTATGGCAAGCCAAGAGGTTCAGAATTACACCATAAATTAATCGCGTTTACTGCCATAGTTATTAACATATAAGGATTAGCGTGATGTGTATATTGCCTAATTGCAAGCTTGTTTCAGAAATGGTGACATTTTTTTTCCATCATTATTGAACATCATTATAGGAGTATTAGGTTGAATGAGTTAGAATTAAATGTTTTATTAATCATTAGAAAATAGACATTAAGAAAATAAATTATGCAAGTACTTTTACTTTTAATACTTAAAGTACATTTAAAATCAGGTACTCTTTACTTTTTACTTAAGTATGGTTGTCATTGTGTTACTTCTACTTTTACTAAAGTAAATATTTATCTGGTTATTTGTACTGGTCATGTTGTAACATTTTCTGTTGCTCAAATTTTAAACTCTATCCAGATTGAAATTAGATTGTAATGCCCTTTTTTTTCCTCCACTGCATTTATGCATGTTGATTGTGTTGATGTAATACACTTGTTTTACTTTAATCATTTTGAGCTATGTTTGATGCCGTTACTGTATGACAACATGTTACTACGAAATGTGTTTTTTATTTAATATTACTGTGGAAAAATAACCACATTCAATCATAAAAAACATTGTGTAAAAGATGCTGTGGGAAACGTATGGGTCATATTTTTTATTTTACATTTTAAAAGATGAATAAAACAAAAATGAAAAATAGTTAATAAACAATATGAAGTACAGTTTTTTTTTTACAGGAGTGTGAGGAAATGGATCTCAAGAGTCACACTAAAACATGCTCTCACATTCACACACTTTAAACAGTATTGCACATTCATTCCCTTTCCATCATCAATTTGAACCTCAAATTCATCATCTCCTCATACAGAAAGGTGCCAAAAAAGTCTCAAAATAACCAAGAGACCTAACATGGTTAATGTAAACCCATTTCATAACTGTGTTCACTGTAAAATTTATACTTTATTTCTGTCAAAACTGATTAGTTTCTAATTTGTTGAACAAAACTGTATTGATCATTGCATATTTTGAAGTTTTTTTTTTTTTTTCATACAGACCAAGGGTCAAGTCCTGTAAATTTCATTAGAGTAAGCCTAAATCAAGCCAGATTTAAACTCAACAGCAGAAACACATTCTGGACAATCAGCCTTTCTGCAGAGCAAAGGTTGCCAAGGTTTTTGAGCTCACACAACAAAAGCCCTTTATTTTGCATAAAAGAGATTTTACAGAAACTCAGGATTTGAATGACAAAATTTCTTTTAATTTTAGTATTTCAACTTTGCTCTGATGATCTGATTCAACATCCCTTTCCAGAATTTAGACAAATATACAAATCATGATCATAATTATTTCTAAACAATTTTCTCCTTTACATTGCTCTGACCCCTTGCCACCACCTTAAAAAATACTATAAAAGCGCTTTCAAATGCAATTTAGTTCAGATACAAATATGAAAAAGCACTCTACTCTACTTTGAAAGTGTGAAGGACAAATACACAGACACTTCTTAGAAAGAGATTCATCACATTCAGTTTTTCCTTCTCATCACACGAGCAAACACTCTCTCTCACACACATAGAAACACAAAGCGTCAAACACTCGTGAGGTTTTCTTGGAAGGAGGCAGAGCGTGTGTTCAGAGAAGAGTCTGTAAGCTCACTTTGACACTCTGTGAGTAGCATCCATTTGTTTAAAAAATCCTAAAATGTTACATAAACTCCAGCTTTCAGAGTTAAAAGCACTGGTGGCGTTTACCCAGATACTCACGTCTCCGTCCAATCAGAAGAGTTCAAACTGGCAGCGGACAGCTATTCCTACGAGGAGCTCGGGCAGTGTGAGCAGTGGTGAGTTTTTACACAAGCGATTGTCGACACCTGCGGAATTCTTTAACTGAGTGACTTGTTCTGCGATATCACATTGTGGATTTTACAATCAGTCAATCCCATAATTTATTTCACATCATATTTTATTAAGTTGAGTGATGGGACAGATCAAAACGGGTCTAGTGTCAACTACAATGCATAGCGATCAGGCTTTCACTGGGCTTTACACCCAATAGTTGATGGCTTCTGGGGCCCTCCAGCCTTTTATTGGCTATTCTTTTTTAAAAAAAAAAAAACAGCCTTCAACTAATTCACATGGAAAAAAACGTCCAGTAGCTGCTTCGCAGTGTCTGAGATTTTAGAGGTTTGGTTTTGCCACATTAACCCCTCTTGTTCAAAGAAATTTTGGAAAGAAGGGGGAAAGATGATATAGTTGCTTTCTCTCCGCTCAATACTGTGATCTCTTGTGTGTTCCTCTTATACTGCAGTCATTTTGGCACTTTTTTCTCTCCATCATGTTGTTGTAAAGGTAGAAAACGCAGTGTGTGTGTGTGTGTGTTTGCATATAGTTATACTGGAGAGAGGGTTTTGGACTGTAATACTGCGTAAAAATTAAAGTGTGTACCATGTATTTGCGTCAAAGGAAGTGTTTTTTTGTAGGGAAAAGCGTGTTTGTTTCACACATGAGTCTGCATTCTTTGCGTGTGTCTCTGAGAGTATTCTGTGGGCGGGGTTGAATGTGGAAATTGGGCGGAGCTGGGGTATTTTCCCATGTTAGCGTCTTGGCTTGTCCCTGCCCCCGGTCCCGTAGGATACATTTCATAGGCTGGTCCTCCCTCCAAAGGCGGAGCAAAGCCTAACCTGTATTGAGGTGTCGTAGAATAAGCGTAGCTGTCAAAAGCCAGCGGATTGGTTGATTCCAGCAGGCCACGGTCTCCAGAATAGTCTGTGGTCTTGGAGACTAAGTTGGGCGGGGCTTGGATTTGTGACGCCCTGGCGATGGTGTTAAAATGGACGTATGTGTTGTGAGCCATTCGGGAAGCAGGGCGGGGCTCGTAACGGCCAGGGGGCGCGGGGTGAATGTTGGCCACTGGGCCGGCGGCTGCTGCCGAAACTGAAGCAGGATTCGGTGGCCGGAATTCCTGGTACAGCAGGGAACGGGTAGAGGAACGGACCTCATCATGTGTTGTGGCTCGAACATTGTAATAGCCATTAGTGGGATCCTGAAATGACAAACATATAATATTTCACTGTGATGCACTATGTGTCTGGTTTATATCTTATTAACACCAAACCTTTGAGCAGTAGTGTATCCCTTTGGAATATAATACTTAAAATGACAAGAAAAACAAATGAAAACTGACTAACTGCAATGCATTTCAATGGACGTGGAAGCAGAGAATGTCCGAGTGTATTGGATTAGCTGCGCACTGTGATTGGCTCATCGTGTTTGAGGGCGTGGCTTAGCCATAGGTCAATTGGGAAAATAACGACACCTTTCAAGAAAACTCACCTCATTTGCTATTGGACAGGCAAAAAGATAGCCCTGCCTTAATCTCACAGTATTGGTTGAGCCAATATTGCTGTGTTGGGCTGCTTTGAGAGCTTTGATAGCGCCACAGTATTTACCATTTTCACATTTTCTTTGCATATTAAACAATAAACTGGAATTAAAAAAATATATTGCACACTTCAAGTGTAGCATTTTTGTCCATATGCACCTGCTTTGTTTCTTACCTTGGGTTCATACTCCTCCACCTTGGCTTCCTGCGTGTCACTCTGGAGGTCTTGCTTCAGGTCCATGTCATCTTTGAAGGGCTGGGTGGAGGGAGAGAGGGAGACAGAGGGAAGAAACTAAACCATCAAACGACAAAACACACACACGGAGAGAGGGAGGAAGAGAAGGACAGAGAGAGGGAGGAAAACAAGATATCAGCTTTATCAGAGTTGGTGAAGAACAGATGTTCTTTAGTTTGTGATGGCAAGAAAGTCTTTTACCATCAGTCATTTTCTCTTTTACAGTTGTGGATACAACTATGCAGACCGGACACTTTACAAAACTTTAAAAGTGGCTTTCGTTACTCTATGGGATTTTCCTATAGCGCTTCCTAAACTCGCTAGTACATTTATATGCACTTTAATAGTTGGATTTCAGTCGGACTGAAAGGTCATCTAAAAAATTGTACCAGACCAGTTTTTGCCACAGCCTGGCTAAAACATTTGATTGTAGAGATTTTGTAGTGACAGTTACACCATATTCTAATAAACACTGGAAGCTTCCAGTAACTGTAATTTTTACACAGGTAAGTCCACACTGAAAGCAAAAATGCTGCATGAAGGAATATAATCACAAAAATAGCAACATATTTCATATGCTGCTACCATTCAAAAGTTTGAGGTCAGTATGATTTTTTTATTGAATAAAAATTAAGCAAAAAGCAAAAATGCATTAAATTGATACATTTATAGATTTATTATAAAACACTTAAGATTTATATTTCAAATAAATGCTGTTCTTTTGATAAACGTTCTATTAATCAAAGAATTCCTGACTAAATGTATCAGTTTCCAGAAAAATATTAAGCCGCTCAACCATTTTCAACATTAATAATAATAATACATTTTGAGTCAGCATATTAGAATGATTTCTGAAGGATCATGTGACACTGAAGACTGGATTAATGATGCTGGAAATGTAGCTTTGGCATCACAGGAATAAATTACGTCCTAAAATATATATTCAAATAGAATACGGTTCATTTAAATTGTAAAAAAACTAGGGCTGTGCAAAGATTAATTGCGATTAATCGCATTCAAAATAAAAGTTTGTGTTTACATAATATATGTGTGTGTTCTGTATAATTATTTGGCATATATAAATACATATGCATGCATGTATATATTTAAGAATTATTTGTATGTAAATACTGTATATATATATATATATATATATACATAATCTATATTATATATAAATATTTTATATAGGAATAAAACATTTTCTTGAATATATACATGCATGTAAGTGTATTTAGAAATACAAAATAATTATACACAACACATATATTATGTAAACATAAACTTTTATTTTAGATGCGATTAATCGCAATTAATCTTTGCATAGCCCTAAAAAAATAAAAATAAAAATAAAACACACACACACAAACTTTTTTACCATAACGCCCTCAATTTCTTTTCGCCCTCAAAGTCTTGGTATCTAATAGTAGACTAATAGTATACTCTAGACTAATAGTATCTAGTCTAAACGATGTTAAATCAGACAGCCTGATCTAGTCTAGTTTATGCTATAGATACTCACAGAATACATAGCCTTTACCATTCGAGTGGCTGTGGAAGCGCTGGCGGCCTCTTCCTCAAGACTGTGCGTCTCCTTGTTGACCGTTTCCACCTTAATGTCTGGCTTCAGCGTGACTCCACGACGACCTGGAAACATACAGTAACAGATCACTGACACATGCTTCACATGTTTTATCAATGCACTTCCATTAAATCACAGCAGTTAATAGGCATTGGTCTGAAAGCAAGATTATTATCTGTCATTTTATTGTTACCTCAAACTGAACCTACTGCAACCTTTGTGTTAGCAGGCTGTTCTATAAAAGGTAGGGCACATAAATCTTTATCACGTCTCATTAAAAAAAATATTTTGTATATAATCATTTATTGAAGGAGTTTCACCGCACTCACGATCAACAAGGTGCCAGACAGACAAGACTAGAAATCGCAAAAAATAAATAAACTGTTTGCACATTTAAAACCTTAAAGCAAATTTAATCACCAAGCTTTCGGTCAAAAGACCATCCCCCTTGATGCCCTGAGGATGGTCCTTTGACCGAAAGCTTGGTGATTAAATTTGCTTTAAGGATTTAAGTGTGCGGACAGTTTATTTATTTTTTGGTATATCACAATTTATTAAAAAAAACAAAATGCATAAACCATTTTTAAATATATGATGAATCTATTTAAGCCTGTCAAAAAGTTTCACTTTTATTAGTCAATACTAAAATGTGTCTAGATGTTTGACTTTTAAGTTTATGATTCTCATTGATGATGTTAAAAGAAGTTTATCAACTGTGTTCATAAATATAAATGCATACGAATATAAATACTTCCCACATCAAATATCTCACTTTATCTCATTGCATACAACTGTGAGGGAAGTGAGGGAAGCATTATTTAATTGTCATGGCAATAATTTATAATAAAAATAAATAAAAAATACTTATTTTTGAAAATTATAAATAAATTTAACGTATATATTACTATATTATTTAAATATATAATGTATCATATTTTCCTCTTGATTTCAGGATGAAATATCATGTTCTTGACTGGCTTGGCTTTATTCTTTTTCTGTCTTCTAGCCACACGGGGGCGCCAAACTATAATCAAGCATCATCCACTGAATTAAATTCCAGAGCATTGCCTTTAAATGCATAAGTAGATTTATTTTCTTGAAATCTGAAGCCCAGTGATAAATTAGACAACTTCATCACAAACAAATGAACAAGAAACACAGATGCACACACAGAGCCACATACATATACACAGTGTACTCACTGCCTTTGCGTTGTCGATACAGATAGAATATCAGAGCAAACAGGAGGAGCAGAAGCAAAATGGAAGATCCAACAGATCCACCTGCTATCACACCTACAGGCACTATATCTGAGAGAGAGAGAGAGACAGGTATAAACATACAGACACTATACATGAGAGATACATGAGACAGGTATTAAAAACGGACACTTATATAGATACTATACAGATGCAAAGACAGATATCATATCTACTGCCACTGTTTCTGTGAGAGAGAGACAGGAATTATACAACAGATGATATACAATTGAGAAAGAGGGGCGTAATACCTACAGGCACTATGTCTGAGAAAAAGACCAAAAGATGTTGTGAGAGAAAGACTGGAAAATACCCATGAGAAAGAGACAGACATACTATTTCCCTACACTGCCCTGCAGAGTTTCTATCAAACCTGCTTTAGTCTGTGATTTTCAAGTGATCCTGAAGAGCTTGACTAGCTGGTTGACTAGCTGACTCTGCAGGACAGTGGGCCTCCAGCAGTGTTGAAGTCCTATGCTCTACGTGATATGCAGTGATGGAGGAAGTACTGAATCTCAGTACTTAAGTAAAAGTACAAATAACCAGATAAATATTTACTTTAGTAAAAGTAGAAGTAACACAATGACAACCATACTGAAGTAAAAAGTAAAAAGTACCTGATTTTAAATGTACTTTAAGTATTAAAAGTAAAAGTACTTGCATAATTTATTTTCTTAATGTCTATTTTCTAATGATTAATAAAACATTTAATTCTAACTCATTCAACCTAATACTCCTATAATGATGTTCAATAATGATGGAAAAAAAAAATGTTGTCACCATTTCTGAAACAAGCTTGCAATTAGGCAAAATACACATCATGCTTATCCTTACTATATGTTAATAACTATGGCAGTAAACGCGATTAATTTATGGTGTAATTCTGAACCTCTTGACTTGCCATAATCCTAAACAAACGTATATTACACACGGTGCATTTCCTATGCACGTAAAAACTAATTTTCGCGTATAAATTGCACTATAAACGCACTGCGTGCGAGACTCATTTGGTGTGACCGGGTTGATAGACCTGAGTGCAAAAATGGAGATATAAGTCTCATGGCCCTCTATCAGAATCCAGAGTTTCAAGAAGATCAGAGAAACTCAAAATTTCGACCCCCTCCCTCAAAAAAAAAAACGACAGTGTTACCCCCTGTCGTTTTTTTTTTTTTTTTGTGCGAAAAAATATGTTTCTCCAATCTTCTTGAAACTCTGGATTCTGATAGAGGGTCATGGGACTTAGACCTGAGTGCAAAAATGGAGGCTCTAGACCCTTCCAGAGCTGAGATATTGATATATTTATAATGGCATAAATGCTAGAGCCTCCATTTTTGCACTCAGGTCTAAGTCTCATGGCCCTCTATCAGAATCCAGAGTTTCAAGAAGATTGGAGAAACTCGACCCCCCCCCCCCCCCCAAAAAAAAAAAACAAAAACAAAAAAAACAAAACGACAGTGTTACCCCAGTGTTACAGGTGTTGTATATCTGAGAGAGAGACAGGTATTATATCTACAGGTCTATATCTATATCTCAGAGAGAGACAGGTATTGTATCTACATGTGTTGTATATCTGAGAGAGAGACAGGTATTGTATCTACAGGTGTTGTATATCTGAGAGAGAGACAGGTATTGTATATATGTTCTTTTGTATCTATTGTATCTATTGTATCTATGGTATTGTTCAGGTCTTGGAGCTAGTGTAGTTGACTGCGCCATCACTGACATGGACCCATCCTCCTTCAATGCATTCACTGTCAAACAGCAAACTCCGCTTTCTGACCATAACCAAACTAACATTTTTATCAAAACGCGTCACACACCAGAACAAAACAGACTGGAAACCTGCCGAATGTATCAGGTCCAGCAGAGATACAAATGGGCTCCAGACAGCGCAGACAAGTTTGTCCAAGCCCTCAGTTCTGAAGAACTAAAAAAAAATCAAATAAATACATTTATTACTAAGAAATTTGAAACAACTAAAGTCTTAATTCGGCTACAAATGAAATCAATAACATATTTAATAAAGCAGCACAGAAAATTGAATTGAAAAAGAAAGGCAAAAAATACACAAAAAATACTCTAAAAGATGAAAAATGGTTTGACTCAGACTGCAAAACATTGAGAAAACAACTTAGAAAGTTATCAAATCTGAAACATAAAGAACCAAACAACACTGACTTAAGAACTGAATACTTTTTAAAACTAAAAATATATAAAGACACAATTAGAGTGAAGAAGCAACACCATCTGACTAAAAGTATAGAAGAACTAGAACACTCAATAAATCAGAATCAGTTCTGGGATATGTGGAATAATCTGAGCACCGCTAAACCACAAGACCTACCAATACAAGATGGAGAAATTTGGACAAATCATTTTGAAAACTTATACAAAGAAATCCCATCAAAACAACTAAATGACAATTATAATCGGATCACACAAAATCTACAAACTGATGAAGAGACAATTAAAAATAATCAAAATCCACTTGACTTCCCAATTACACATGAAGAATTGGCAAACAAACTCAAAAGCCTAAAAGGAAATAAATCTTGTGGTCCTGACAGCATTCTAGGTGTGATGCTGAAACACAGCACACCGGAGCTGCAGGCGGCGCTGCTCAAACTGTTCAACATCGTACTCTGGAGCCAAGGACTTATTACCCCAATTCACAAGAGTGGAAATAAATTAGACCCTAATAATTTCAGAGGCATTTGTGTGAGCAGTAATCTGGGGAAGTTATTTAACAGTATTTTAAACAATAGAATTGTAAACTTCCTTAACGAACACAATGTCCTGAGCTCGAGTCAGATTGGCTTCATTCCAAAACACAGAACTACTGACCACATTTACACCCTACACACCCTAATCAATAAACACGTAAAACAGACCAAAAACGGAAAAATATTTTTCAAAAAAGCATTTGATTCTATTTGGCACAACGGATTATATTACAAACTTTTACAAAGTGGTGTAGGGGGTAAATTCTATGACATTATAAAATCAACGTATTCGAACAACAAATGTGCAATACGAATTGGCAACAAACATACAAAATTCTTTACCCAAAAGAGAGTGTGGCAGGGCTGTAACCTGAGTCCAACGCTGTTCAACATCTACATTAATGAACTAGCGGTGCAGTTGGAGCAGTCTACAGGCCCTGGACTCAAGACAACTTGAGGACAAGGAGCATCAAGGACAGGAGCATCAAGCTCTTGCTGTACGTAGACGACCTGGTGCTGCTGTCACCCACTGCACAGGGACTACAGCAGCACCTGGACCTGCTGCACAACTACTGCCAGAACTGGGCCCTGGCAGTCAACCTCACAAAGACCAACATTATGGTCTTTCAGAAGAAGCCCAGATGTCAGGAACACAGATACCAGTTCAGTCTAGGCAGCACCGGCCTAGAGCACACGATGCAGTACACTTACCTCGGGCTGGTCATCACTGCATCGGGGAGTTTCAGTCTAGCAGTGAATGCTCTTAAAGATAAAGCTCGCAGAGCTCTATACGCCATTAAGAAGAAATTCCAAAACACCGAATTACTGATTCCAATCTGGTGTAAAATCTTTGATAGTGTGATTCAGCCCATTGCGCTGTATGGAAGTGAGGTGTGGGGTCCACTCAGTGATCAGAGCTACACTAGATGGGACAGACATCCAACAGAAGCCCTACACACAGAATTCTGCAAAATGATACTAAAACTTCAAAGGAAAACACCCAATAATGCGTGTAGGGCAGAATTAGGCCGATTCCCATTGATTATTAATATGCAAAAAAGATCCCTCAAATTCTGGATGCATCTACTATCAAGTCCCACAGAATCGCTACATTTTAAAGCACTACAGACCCAAGAACTGAACCCCGAAAAGAGTCTCCTCAGTCAGCTGGTCCTGAGACTCACTAACCCGACTAACCCTACTAACACTCACCAGTCTCAGACCAGCACTGCTCCTCACACACACACACACACACACATCAGAATAAACCAAATTACTAAACAGTCTAAAAATACATATCTGGAACATTGGGATCAGGAAACCAAAACACAAAGTAAACTACAATTCAATCGAAATCTGAAATCAAATTATGAAATGGAGGAATATCTCCAGAGTGTGAGAGACACAAAGCAGAGACAGATCCTGAGCAAGTACAGGCTGAGTGAACACAGTCTAGCCATCGAGACCGGCAGACACAGAAAGAGCTGGCTACCCCGAGAGCAAAGGGTGTGTGTTCAGTGTAGGGATGGCTTGATACCACAATTTTGGCTTCGATACGATACCAGAACCTAATACCTCGGTATCGATACTAAATCGATACCACAGTCGGAAAAAAGTCTAAATTTAAGTGAATTGAAACAATTTTATTAAACACTGCTTGAAACTCTCAACTACCATATGTGCAAAGAAAAGTATCCAAAAAAAAAAAACATCAAAATTTAAAAAATAAACAAATTATGTGTAGGTAAAATTTTGATTTGGGGAAAAAAAACACTGATATTATATAATTAACATAGGTTAATATCTATAATAATAGATTAACATAATAGAATAATGAAATGATGTAAACCATTAGCTGTCATGCATCAACAGAGAATAATCAACATTTATTTATCTTGGTTTGGTTACTGTTTGTGTTTGGGTTCATATTATGCATATAATGCATTGCAAAAAGTAATGTTATGATGCTAAACATTTATTAGGATATTACATTTTTAGGTCATTTTATTACTGATTGATCTAGATTAATCAATGCTGTATTGTTAAGCCAGGTTCCTTAGTGAATGTTGACAAAATTAATTGTGGGCTAATATTATTAATATTTATATTACTACCATCTCTCTCTCTCTATGGGTCGCCACAGCGGCAGTAATGCCATTCATTTTACTATCACTTTTATGCTTTATTAATTCAAATTAAATGAATATATTTGTTTGAAACTGCAAAAATGATGAGTTCGTAAGACGGTAACTTAACTGAATTGGTTCTAGCGTGTCATGCAAGAAGATTTGAGCTTTCGTGTTTACCGTATCATATTTAATTGATAAGCTCTTATGTATGTGCGCTGTTCAGTGTTCAATAAAAGTCTAAATTAAATCATTTTAATGATGAACTCACCAGTTGATCTCTTGAACAAATCAGGATGTGCAACTGACGAGCGCTTGCACTCCATGGCAACACATTATTGAAAGCAAAGTTTGCAGAGCGGTGCATTGAGGTCTGTTTCTACACTATTCTCATTAATTTAGTAGGCAAAGTAATGCCTTATTTCAGTCATACTGCTCTCTCTATTTATTAATTTCGGGCGTGTAGAAAACTAGAAATCCGAATGAGCTTCATTTCCACCGTGTTCCTTCGTTTGCCGGTTTCGCGTGACTCGCGTCAGTTTCGGTAGCGCACTGCCGCCTAGTGGAGAACTTCGGAACAGCAGCTCATCAAATACCGAATTTACCAAAATGATGATATTGTACCGTTTGAAATTTATTATATACCGGTATTTATGCAAAACCGGTGTACCGCGCATCCCTAGTTCAGTGTAGGACAGGAGAGATCGAGACAGAGACACACTTCCTCCTCCACTGCCACAAATACAGCTCGATCAGAGACCTCTACTTCAATAAACTTAATAACTTAATACACAACTTTACAACCATGACTGAAGTAGAGCAGATAAAGATAATACTAGGAGAGGGACAGACCGCAGCACTGACTGCCAGATACGTGTGTGCGTGCCACAGCCTGAGAGACAGTAGGTGAATGTGTGTGAATGTGTGTGTGTGTGTGTGACCTCAGTGTGTTTCTCTAATGTCCATCACAGTGACCCTTAGTAATGTGTCTATGCGTGTATATATATATATATATATATATATATATATATATATATATATATATATATATATATATGTTAAAACACTGTGGTATCAAACGTTCATAGAATTTATAATCTGTTACACAGTTATTTTTTGCAATTAATTTAATTTGTACATTTCAATTTAAGTTGTTAAAATACTTTGTTTTTATTGATGTCTTCACTATACTATGTGTTACAAGCTTTGGCAATATTGTAATATGTACAGTCATGCCAATAAAGCAATTTGAATTGAATTGAATTGAATTGAGAAAGAGACAGGTATTGTATCTACAGGTGTTATACATCTCAGAGAGAGACAGGTATTGTATCTACAGGTGTTGTATATCTGAGAGAGAGACAGGTATTGTATCTACAGGTGTTGTATATCTGAGAGAGAAGACGGGTAATGTATCTACAGGTGTTATATATCTGAGAGAGAGACAGGTATTATATCTACAGGTGTTGTATAACCTTCGTTCATCTTCGGAACACAAATAAAGATATTTTTGATTGAATCTGAGAGCTTGATCAGTCCTAGATAGACTGCCTAAGGGACTGGCTCTTGACGGCCCATAAAGTCATTAAAGAAAAGGTTTAAATATTCCATGTGCCTACAGCGGCTCAATTATAAGTTTATCAAGCGACGAGACTACTTTTTGTGCGAAAAAACATAAATAACGACTTTATTCCCTATTCCATTACTTCCTTATGGGCGCATGCCGC